TTCCTGCTGCTCAAAGATCTGCCTTTAATAATTCCTGTAGGCTTGTTCAGCAGGTGATGAATTCTCTTGGTTTTTGTCTTTGTTTTGCCTTAAATTTTGAAAAAAATGTTTTTGCTGGGAATAGGATTAGCACTTCCTGTTTTCTTTCTTTCTGTCGTGTAAAGATGGTCTTCTAGTTTGAATACTTGGACGAGAAGTGCGTGCTGTAGGTTTTGTTCCTCTATATGTATTCTCTTTTATTTCCCTCAGGACACTGAATTTTTCTTTTCTCTTTATCACTGGTTTTCATAAAATTGATGGATGTTCTTTGGTGTGGCTTTGTTTCTTCTGCTTCATGTTCTTTGAATACCTTGAATCAGTGGGGTTACAGTTTTCATCACATTTAGGAATTTTGGGGTCATTGTTCAAATGTTTTCTGCTCCATTTTCTCTCCCCTCCTACCAGCATCCCCAGTTCCATATATATTAGGCCACTTCAGCAGTCTTTACTCCCTTTCCTTTCCAGTCTTTTTCAATTGGAGCCTCATGTGAATAGTTTCTATTCACTATTCGAGTTCATGATTTTTTCTTCAGCCTAGTATAATCTATTCTTAATCCACTAGAAATCAAAACCAAACCTGCTGCTATCAAATTGATTTCAACTCATAGTGACCCAAGAGAATGGAATAATTCCCCGACGGTTTGGTTTCAGAGGCTGTAAATGTTTATAGACTGCCCCAGCTTTCTCTCACAGGTGGCTGGTGGGTTCAAACCAGCGACCTTTTGGTTAGCAGTTTTTAACTTGCTATGCCACTAGGGCACCTTAATTCACTCACACTCACACGTATCCCACACTCTCTGAACGTTTATGTCACTTCACTTTTATGAAAGAGTTACATTAGTTCCTGTTTTTGCTAGACAAAAGAAATCAGGAGCAGTCTTGTCTTTACAATGAAAGGCAGGCAGTGAAGGCAGCCTTCAGCATCTGTACAGTGAGCCATTGGAGACACTGTGCCCCTCTAGCAGCGTGTGCTGTTACACATCTTACAGAAATACGGAGACAGAATTCTGCCAATGCCAGACTCAGCACTAGCAGGGCCCCTGTTGTTAAAACCAGGGCATCTGGTCCTCCTCAAAATTTGGAAGGAGACCCCCTTGAAGACCAGCTGCAAAAAAAATGGGTGGGGTCCTACAAAAGATTATTGTCACCAGCTGCTCTTAGGAAACCCTATGACAGGGTCACAATGAGTTGGAACAGACTTGACGGCACTTAACAACAACTCATACTGCAGTGAAACTGAAAGGTGTCACATACTGGGTTGGTTTGTCTCATGTTCAACCTCATTCCCGCTCAGGCTCGAGAGATGTAAGAAACTCTATGGATCACTACCACACCTGTGAGACAGTTGTTGTTATTGTTGTGTGCCGTTGAGTCTGTTCCCACTTGTACCAACCCTATGTGGGTTTCTGAGAGCAGCTGTCAGATTTGAACTACTGACCCATTACACTCATAGCCTTGGGAATCAGTTCTGGTCACTGCCCTGGGAGAACTGTCTGGAGGGACAACATATAAATGCCCAGACAGTTCAAATATTTCTACCATTATTGAAGAAATAGCAGTGGACTCTGGGCCTGGTCTTAAAGCCCTCCCCAGATCCCTTGATTCCCTTGCTAACATCGTTATGGACTACCATGTCCATGTTCCCTGGATTATTTATTGGCCAAACAAGGGGGAGTCTGGGTTGTTGCTAATCCCTCATGTTGTTCGTACATAAACTCTTCAGGAAAAGTAAAACTAAGGACCCAATGCCTCCTCCAACAAGCTAGGTGGTTGGAAGAAACCAGGAGACCTGGCTTCCTAAACATAGGACCTTTGAGAAAATACATAGCCTCCTCACCTGGTTCCTCTCTGTGCTTGGTCTCTCAGTAGCAATGGTGTTATTTTTACTACTTGGTCCTTGTATACAAAAGCTAATTGCTAAGTTTATATCACTTAGAGTAAAACAATTCCTTCAATCCTATCTCCCTTTAAGAATAAAAGAGTATGTAAAATCTCAGGAGGGAGTTGAGTCAATAAAAGTGCCTAGAGGCTCCAAGAAAGAACCATAAATATTTGTTGACATACAAACTTAAAGATCACAAAGTAATGCTCTGCTTAATGGCCTGTAAAGTTACATGTAGTACTCCCCCCCCCGTCCTGTGTTGAACATCTGGCACCAAGATTTGTTGTGTAGAAAAGTAGAGCCCTGTTGTGGGTCAGCACTAGACTTCAAACCACAAGGCCAACAGCTCAAACATAGCAGCTGCTCTTCAGAAACCCTACGCAGGGGCTCCATGAGTCAGAACTGATTCGATGGCACATAACAACAAGCCCCCATATAGCTGAAGGCCAAAGATACCACAAGAATGAGGACATCATTGCACTCTGGCAGATCTCCAGGCCACCCTATAATAAATGATGCCAATAATCCCAGACACCCTTGCTGCTGATTTCACCTTGAAGAAAACCTGTGCATGCTTACTCTCTGCCTACACCCATGGTATACCTTAACCCCTTCTAGTGTTTGAAAATTCTCCCCTGTTCTTAAGAAACCTAACCCAACGCTAAATAAATACAAGTGTGTCAGCGCCCTGCTTTGAGCAAGCAGGAAGGCCGCTGGTGAGATTCTGCTGTACCACTCACTGTCGCTACCTTTGCTTTTGTTCAGATTCTTTCAAGTAAAACAGCAAGACCCTTAATGCTGTGGGTCTGGGGACAGTTCTCCCCTGGGAACTACACACACAGTATCTCAGCATCACACTGCACTCGCTGTAAATAATGTTTGTGAACACTGGATGTTAGTATATGTTACTTGGTGTGACTAGAGCCCTGCTTTGGCACTATGGGATAAACTAGCACTGAATCATAATGTCGGCAGTTCAAACTCACCAGCCGCTCCTCGGGAACCCTACACAGGGTCACTATGAGTCAGAACCGACTCATTGAATGTAATGTAAAGTTGGTATGATTTGGTAGGTTGGTTTTGGAGTATGGGAATGAATGCTCAAGATATTTTCTCATGCGAATTCCTGGTCGTTGCTAACTGAAAGATCAGTCGTTTGGAGCCACCAACTGCTCCATGGGAGAACGATGTAGCAGCTCTGTTCTGTCTGGTATTGATGTCAAATTGGTTCCAACTCATAGTGACCCAGTGTAGGGTTTCCAAGGAGCGGCTGGTGAGTTTGAACTGCCGACCTTGCAGTTCACATCGACCTTGCTGCTCCACACCAGGACCCCATTCTGTCCTGTAGGGATGCTCTTAGTTGGAATTGCCTTGACAGAAGAAGGTTTGGCTTTCTAACTCAAAAACCAAACCTGTGGCCATTTGGATTCTGACTCACTGAGAACCTATATTTGGTTTCCACGGCTGTAAGTGTTTATGGGAACAGAGAGCGTCACCTTTCTCCCTAGGAACAGCCAGTGGGTGTGAACTGCCGATCTTGCATTTAGCAATCCAATGCTTATCACAAAGTGCCACTAGGACTCCTTTTGGTTTTGATAGGTATATTTCATTTCATATATTGTTGCTGCCATCCCGAAAAGTTCCATCTGGACCCTTTCTTTTATCTTACCCCTCAGGTTTCATCAAGCTCATCTTCCCGTTTTATATATCTGTTAGCTATTTTAACAGCCTTCCCAACTAATTACACCAGACCTGTTTTTTCTGGGTCTATTTCTATTCATCCGATTTGCTCTTGCTCCTTCAGATGCCTTGTTGGTGCCATGATTTGATGTATTTATTTACTGTGCTGAATTCTGCACTGGTGTACAGCTACTTGGAATCAGATTTATTAGAGGATTAAGCTTTGTTAGGGTAAGTTCAGAGCAGCCTTTAATTTAGAGCAAAACAATTCAGACTCACGACTAAAACAGTTCCATTCTGAATATTGTACCCAAGGCCTCACACAGTACACATTCTTTCTAATCAGGCTGATGAGAACATGAACAGTTCCCGTCACTGTGTGATCTCCTGAACTGTTCAGACTAAGATTTCTAGTGGCGCTTTGCTTGGCGTCTGGAAGTTGCCTTTCATACATGTGAAAATGAACTAGCAGTGAAAGTGTTCATGGAGACCCTTGCCAATTTCTGGAGCTCATTCTGACTTTGGGAACCTCCCCGCCTCTAGTACTCGTCACTGTAAATCCTAGATTCCCTGTATTAATCGTGTCTTCTAAATTCAGCAAGACGGCTTGTTCCCCTCCCTGAACTGCACCCTAAAAACCACAATTTCATAAGTATTGCTTTCTTTCTCACTGTTTGAGGCAGGAGAGTAAATCTTCTTATTCCATCTTAGTTAACTGAAGTCTTCACACCTGTAAACAGTTTTGGGGGTATATTTTGGTAATTATTTACATAAAATGACCACAATTTCCTTGTAGAATTCTTTTAATGGACTCATGCTTATCAAATTTCTAAAATGATTTAGTGCTACTCCTCAGTAGGCCACAGACTAAAAGGTCAGCAGTTCAAACCCATCACCCACTCCATGGAGAAAGATTTAGCAATCTGCTTTCATAAAGATTACAGTCTTGTATGTATGGGTAGTTCTGCTTTGTCCGGTAGGGTCACTGTGAGCCAGAATGGACCCAACAGCAACATCTGTGTACATTCGATTGTCATTCCTTAGTGAAATTTTCATTCACTTGTTAAAACGAGTTTATCTTCTGCTTAGCTCCTCTGCTGTTTAATGAGCTATAACTTCTGACCAAAAGCTTTTGTACCATCAAAACATTGATTAACACCTTGACCTTGATGAACTAGTTTGTGTGTAAGGAGTTGGGACTTCTGTGAGATGGCTTTTGCACACACTACTGCCCTTTTATGAATTCTGTTTAATGACGTGACTTGCCATGAAAGCTCTTTCAATAATCAGTGCATTGATAGTGGGTCTCTTCTGTAGTCAGAAGCTCTCTGCTCAGTCAGAAGCCCTTAGAAGGTCCAACATTCTGAGGCTTTCCACAGGCACTGCCCTTATGTGGTTTCTATAGTATATGATTTTTCTGATGTGTCATCAGTAATGACTTCCTATTGAAGGTCATCCCACATTCATTGCATCCATAGTATTTTTCTCCTGTATGAATTCTCTGATGCCTCATAAGGTGTGACTTTCTAGTGAAAGACTTTGCACATTCATCACATTCATAGGGTCTCTCTCCCGTATGAATTCGCTGATGTATAATGAGCTGTGTCTTCTCAAAAAAAGCTTTTCCACACTCACCACAGCCATAAGTTTTCTCTCCTGTGTGATTTCTCTGATGTTTAATAAGCTGTACTTTTTGAACAAATGCTTTCCCACATTCACTGCACTCATAGGGTTTCTCCCCTGTATGGATTTTCTGATGCCTAATGAGCTGTGGTTTCCAGGCGAAAGCCTTCCTGCATTCGCCACATTCAAAGGGCTTTTCTCCTGTGTGAGTTCTCTGGTGATGAATGAGACTTGATTTCTCACTGAAGGTTTTTCTGCATTCACCACACTCATAGGGCTTCTCCCCTGTATGTGTCCTCTGATGGGATATCAGGCTCGACTTCTGACTGAACGCTTTCCCACAATCTCTGCATTCATAGGGTTTCTCTCCTGTGTGTGTTCTCTGATGTGTTAGCAGCTGTGATTTCCCAAAGAAAGTTTTTCCGCATTCAACACATCCATAGGGTTTCTCTCCTAAATGGATTTTTTGATGCCTAATTAGTTCTGACTTTTTAAAAAAGGCCTCTTCACAGTCACTGCATGGAAAGTTCTTCTCTCCTGTATGAGTTACCTGGTGTCTGAGGAGCTGGGGCTTTCTGATGAAGGCCTCCCCACATTCATTACATTCATAGGGCTTCTCTCCTGTATGAATCCTCTGATGTCGAATCAGGAGTGAGTTCCTGCTGAAGGCTTTCTTACACTCACTACATGCATAGGGCTTCTTCCCTGTATGCGTCCTCTGATGAGTGATCAGCTGTGATTTCCAGAAGAAGGCTTTCCCACATTCAGTGCACTGATAGGGCTTCTCTCCCGTATGAGTTCTCTGATGTGTCATGAGTTTTAATTTCTGGGAGAAAGTTTTTCCACAGTCACTACACCCATAGGGTTTCTCTATTGTATGGGTTCTCTGATGCCTTTTAAGCTGTGACGTCCTGCTGAAAGCTCTTCCACATTCACGGCAGCCATAGGGTTTCTCTCCTGTATGAGTTCTCTGATGTAAAATGAGAAGCGACTTCCTACTGAACGTTTTTTGACATTCCCCACACCCGTACGGTTTTTCTCCAGAATGAGTTCTTTGATGTATCGTGAGCAATGACTTCTGTGAAAAGGCTTTTGCACACTCACCACATTGGTAGGGCCTCTCTCCTGTGTGTGTTCTCTGATGTATAATAAACTGGGACCTCTTACTGAAAAACTTGCCGCATTCCATGCATACATACACTCCTCTGTGTGTTACGTGATTTGTAATGAGCCAGGACTCTGTACCACTGCCTTGTTTACATTTATTACAGTCACAGTACTTTATTTCACTCTGAGTTCTGTCTGTTTCGATGTGAATTAACAAATTCTTATTAAACTCACCAAGTTGCATTCTGTTACAGTAACTTTTTGGAATAGTTAAGTTGAAAGGATGTTTTAAACTGTTTTCACCAGCGCCATGCTTTTGAGGCCTTGCTCCCAAATGAGTAATATTAATGCTTGAATGAAGTATCTTCCCCAAAACATCATATTCACGGCATCTCTCTGTACTTTTAAGCTTGTCTTGATTATCTTTGTGCCTCATGTTGTGAATTTTATCTAGCCAGACTTCTAAAAAAGAAAAAATAAACCATGCTGTATAAATCTTTCAGGGAATATATTCGTTGGATAAATGTTTAGAAATGTGTGGAGTCTTGCTTATCAGTTTAAAAATTCTTTAGATACAGTAGCTATAATTATTGGGCGAGGACAATTTTAACAGAAATGAAGACAGATTTTAAAATAAATGTTTATAGACTTCTAAAATCAAAAGAGATGAAAGATACCCAGGAAACAGTGAAATTAAAGAGTCAAAGTCTATCTTGACAAATTGGATTACGCGGCAGGAGACAAAAAGGCAAAGGAGACAGAAGCTAGGAAGCATAGCCCTACCCGAGAAACAAGGTCCTAAATAACCAGTCATCAGTGTGTTCCAGTGTGTGGTTTGGAGGGGACACATTTTACCATAAATCCATGCAAAGAGGCAAGTCCTAATATTACCAGATTTAGGAACTTTATATAAGGTTTTACAAACAACCATTCAGAAGGGCCAGCCTGTCATTAAAAAAAACCAACAACTGAAACTGAACGTTTACTGCCTCCCATATATCCTGGTACTTTCTCACCTGGAAGGTTGTGACTTAGCATTTCGTCATCTGTCATACATGGTTCTTCTCCTTGCTCTAGCTTAAAGACTGCATTAGGTTTGATAATCTGATACCCTGTTAATTGAAAATACAGAGGACATGAACCCAAATGTCTGGGTTGAGGGGTTCATAAATATTAAGAATGTTTTATTAGAAAGACTGTGAGATAACGCAAACACATACAAATCTTTCAGTTGGGTGTAGAAATCAAAGAATGTTTTACATCGGAAAGTTAAATCCAAAACCAGCTCAGAGGCACTCAGTGTATTCACTGGGTACATAGTAAGTCATGTAAGATAAGTGTGCTTACCCAAGAAAACTAGATTGCTATAGTTCTCCAACATCACGTCTTTGTATAAATTCTTTTGAGTGGGATTCAGCAGCTGCCATTCCGCCCACGTGAAATCCACAGCTACATCCTCAAAGGATACCTAAAAAGCACAACCCCTGTTAGATCTTAGAGAATACAGGCTGTTTTTTCTACTTGTATTTGTGGTGGGCAACCTCAATGATCTCTGACTTCTGTCTTCATGCTTTTGTGTACTTTCTCCCCTCTTGAGTGTTGACTGGACTCTTAACTTGCTTTCAGTGAACAGAATGGACAACATTGATGGGAAGTCACTTCCAGGCTTAGCTTATAAAAAGGCTGTAGCTTCTATCTTGGGTGTGCTCTCTGGGGGAAGCCAGTTTCCATGGTATGGAGCCGACTCTACAGCACTGAACAACAACAAATGAGAAAGACTGGAGGCCTGCAACACCCACATGCATGAACTTAGACGGGGATCTTGAGACCAACCACCATGTGTGTGACTAATCCTGGACGGGAATTATCTCCCTCTTGTGCCTGTCCAACATCTTCATTACAGTGTCATGAAGGAACCTAAAGTATATCCCCTGGGTGATGGTCGACAAATTTCTAACATGCTGAAACTGTGAGGTAGTGTCTGTGGTGTTCAGCTTTTTAGAAGTCCAGGCGTGGTACTGTAGACTAAACCCTAAACTGACAGGTCAGTTTGAACTGCAAGGTCAATGGTTCAAATTCACCAGCTGCTCCTCAGAAACCGTCTAAGGGTCGCTATGGGTCGGAACCGAGTCGACAACACTTAACAATAAATTTTGTGAAACTTTATTACACAGCAATTAAAAAAAACCTAATCTGGAATTATACTTTGAGGGAAGAACAACACTGTAATTAAAGATTTATCATTGTCATTTGTCCATCCACCAATCCATTTATCAGGAGATTGGACTTGGTTGTCTTTGGAGCAAGACTTTACTGAGCAGGATTGCTCCATGCATTATGTTAGGCAGACTCGGCCTCTCCCACTAAATGACAGCAGATACATAGGCCCAGGCACATACTTCAAACACCCGCTTCCTTTAGGGGGACATTTCTGTTCACAAACAAAAACTATCTAGTTCTTTCAGATGTTGTCTAGAACACATATATTAAGCAATTAATAGGTGCTTGAAATATCAAGATGAGCAGAAAAACAATGCTGTCCTGAAATACTTGTTAGTCTATCCGTGCAATGGAAACACAGTTTTAGAGCGGCTGTGATATAATAAGGAACACTGGTGGCACAGCTGGTAAGCACTTGGCTACTAACTACAGGTCAAACCCACAAGCCTCTCCAGAGAAGGATGTGACCATCTGCTTTTATAGATTCCAGCCTTGAACATTGTGTAGGGCAGTTCTGCTGTGTCCTGTAGGGCTGGTAGGAGTCGGAACCAACTTGAGGGCTGCAGGTTTGTTGGCTTTTTAGGACTCTAATCGAATGTCTTCCGTAGTTAGCCAGTGTAGCTCTAACAAACAAAAAATTTACTCCAAACCCCACTGCCACAGAGTCTGTGAGAACTCTTAGTACCGTTGTAGGACAGAGTAGGACTGCTCCACGGCTGGAACGTTTATGGGAGTGGACCGTCTAAGTCTTCTCTATGGAGCAGCTCGTGGGCTCCGACTACCAACCTTATCATTAACTGTTGTTGTTGTTAAGAGTCACTCACAGCGAGCCTGTATAGGGAATTCAAGGAGGAACTGGTGAGTTTGCAGTCAGCTGTCAAATGCTTATCATAGAGCACCAACACTACGCCAACTGAGCTCCTTTGCTTACAGCTTAGGAGGCTACAAGTCCAAATTCAGGGTGTGGACTCTAGTCAGCTCTGGGCAGCGGTTGTTTCTTGGTTTCCTGTCTTCATGTGCTACAGCATCCATCTTCCCCCATCTCTGCTCGCTTCTTTATACCTAATCTGTACTTTTTATATCTCAAAGGTCATTGGCTTGACTCTGGGACAACATGGTGGACAAAGAAGAACATCGAGTCGATCTTCTACAACAAAGACATGGAGAGCACGTGAACCAGATACAGATGGTGATGGGAAAGCCTGAGCCCCGAGGATAGGACACAGAGATAGACTGAATACTGACTGGATGAGAAAGCTGAACAGAAATGGGGAGAGAAGAAAATGGGGCCGACTGTGGGCTGCCATGGAGCAGTGCAGCCATCGTGAGATTCTGTGAATGGCTGTTGGTACAGCAGCCTGCTGGGCACAAGGTGGGGGTGGAGGTTGACGACAAGGGGGTACAGTTCTCCCTTATTCCTGGGTCCACCTGCAGTCCCCACCTCGCCAACCTAGCTTCTAGAGGCATGTGAACCCTACCCTGAACTACACAAACAATGAACAAAGAATCACACTTCCAGACTCTATGACATCCGCCAGGAGACAGGTGACGAGTGCCTGAGACTACACCACTGTATAACCATGCACTAAATATAATACAGCAACACAATGTCTCGGAGAAAACACCACTTCAGTTTACACAAATAAACAAGATAGACTGCCTTAAACAAATAGCCAAAATAGAGAGTCAGAAAGTATAGCAACAGAAATGAGATCAGAACTTACTGATCAGGAATTTAAAAGAATGCCAGTTAGGTAACTTCAACAGATTGAGAGAAAGATTAAGAAAACTACAGATAAAATCAAGGAAAACATACACAAAACTATGGGAAAAAATCAGTTTTTAGAAACAAAATGACAAAATAATTGAAAAAATGGGAACCTTACCAAAGCAGCAATAAAAAAGAGGATTAAAATTAAGAATTCAATAATAGAAATACACTGAAAGAGAAAAGAAATAGAACTGAATCAATGGAAGGATGAACTACTTGAGGAAAATCTCTCAAAAATCATCTGCTAGAGTAACAGTCAGAAAAAAGAAGAAAGCCTAAGATTTATATGGGACACTATCAGGAGGAGTAACTGAAGTGTGATGTGAATTCCCAAACACACTGAGGCAAAAAATCCCATACAGAATATTGCCTATTTGTGGCAGGAGATGCAATCCATAACACTTCCTCATAAAGCTGGAATCCCAAAGGGGAATATCTTGGGTCAATTTGGGTCAATGAAACATTAACAGAATATTTCTTGGTGTGTTTATGTGGAGTAGCAAAAAACAGTACCTTGAGAATTCATAACAAGCAGCTAGTTTTACATTGGTGTGGGCTAAATTCATAGTACAGGTATCTTTTGCATAAGAAAAAGAAAACTTTCAGGACACGCAGTCAGAGATCTGGAAGTAGCTAACTGCACATGCAATCTAAAGAATTCTCACAAATAAGCTGCAAGAAGAAGTAGTTCACAGTAAAAAGAGATCAGAATCACACAAGTACATGCATCAGGAGAGCGCTGGCAACAGATAACCCAGTGCCAAGGTTTTGCCGACAGAAAACTAAAGAAACTACTGAACTATCTCTTATGAAAAATGAATCAGAAAATTCAGTTTCCACAAAGGTGAGTTCCTTTCCAGACCAGAAGGGTGGTCGAGGGCCATAGTCTCAGGACCCTGCAGTCACTTTTGACCAGCAAGCCTGGTCTTTTTTTTAAATAACATTGAGTTCTGTTCTGCATTTTCTCCCACTCTATTCGGGACCTTGTAATGTGTCCCTTTCGGAGCGGTTGGTAGTGATAGCCAGGCACCATCTAGCTCTCCTGGTCTCAGGGTCGTGGACACTAATGTGCACACGGTCCATTAGTCCACTGGACTCACTGATTCCAAGCATCTTCCATTTTCATCAGTCTTCTTTCTTCTGCACACCAAGAGGCCAATAACTGCAACTTAGATGGCCACTCATGAGCTTTTAAGATCCCAAAAGTTACTTAACAAAGTAGGATGTAGAACATTGTCTTTGCTAACTATGTTATTTCAATTGTCCATGGTGTCCCCTGAGACGATGGTCCTGAGCCCCCAGGTCCAGCAGCTCATTGCCTTAAGAAGTTTGATAAGATCGAAGTTTTCACCATTTTGCTTGCTATATGGTCCACCACATTCATAGTTGTGTGTGCAGGAGAAGTAAATATCCATGTACAAATATCCTCTTTCAAACGCATATATTTGTGGGTATCCTCCCACGCTTCCTCCCATACCCATTCAGACTTCGTGCTTCTCTTAACAATGCAAGTTTATTTTTCTTTAATCTTGATATTTATTGTAGTGATTCTGCTAAGTCTCCTCACAGCTGCTGAAAAAAATGCCAGAGGATAAATCAATAACTCACCTGTGACTTAGTCATTTTCTGCTGCTCCGGAGACAGCTGCTGTCTGCTGTGATGTCTCTGTCTTGCCACTCCGGGGAGAAACCTCTGGTCAAAGGTCTGTGCACTAAGATGACATTCCTGGTTTTGAGGCTTCTTCTTTCTTATCTGATGTGAACTGTCTTGTACTTTAGCACCATGGCCTGTGAACTCAGTGAACATTTTATTTTAGATGATGTAACTAATTTGGAGTCCTGTTTTTCTCTTGTTGGTCACATTTACAGCCTCAGACTGGATGTGTGCTATACTGAAATCAGGGCTGGTGGGGAAATAACTAACATGGAATACGAGTAACTGGTAGATTTTAGTGGAGTGGGACTGGTATCTGAGTCAGGTCCATCCCATGTTTCACAGTTAACAACTCTGGATCCCACCCATGCAAGCTAGATTAAAACCACCCACCTCAAAGTTTCTAGTAAACACCTCCAGGGGAAGCATCACCCAGTGCAGTACTCGGTAAAGACCAGAAATTCTGGAAATACAGTGAGGGCTCAACTCATTCTCCAGCTGTGTTCCCTGGTACTTACATGAAATAGATTACTGTCACAATGCCATGGAATGCTTCTTCTTGCTGCTGTTAAGTGCCATCGAGTCAGTTCTGACTCATAACATACTCTATAGGGTTTCCGAGGAGCATCTGGTGGGTTTGAACCGCTGACCTTGCAGCTCAAATTGACCTTGTGGTCCAACACATTATCCTGCAGTGCCACACCAGGACTCCATAGGGACTCATTTCATCTCTAGCTCTTTTCTGTTTATTATTATAGGAAGGCTTTGTTGTTGTTAAATGCTGTCAAGTCGATTCCGACTCACAGGGACCCTGTACAAGGTTTCCAAGAAGTGACTAGTGAGTTTTAACCGCCGACATGGGATCAAACCAACCTTGTGCTTTATTCCACATCGCCACACCAGGATTCCATCAGAAGGATAGTAAACACAGAAGAGCTAAAGAGTCAGCCTATGATTCTGGCTTCCTTTCTCCCAGATCAGCCATGGATTACACGGAAAACACAGTTCACATGAAGTGATTGTAATAAGATGAATAAGAGACCCGCTGTGAGAGACCCTGGGTAAGATTGCTGGCTCCAGTGAACTGACTGTTTACGTGTGAGTCTGGGGCAAAACAGGTTCTTGTCAACAGCCTAGACCACTTGAGAGCCAGATGGGGGCAGTGACAATAGCTATTTCCTGAAAGTTTGTATGTTGCTTCTTCCTCACCTCAGTGTGGGATAAATACTGGCAGCTCTTCCCCTCAGAAATCAGCTATTACTCTTAGAAAAGGGAGTGTGAACCTATTTAGACACTAAGACCCAAAAATAGTCACCAAGGCTGCAGCTTTCAGGGCTGCTGGGGAAAGAAATGACCTACTCAGCCCCTCCCATCTTCACATACACACTTCCACAGGCTCATTTATTGGTCAGGGAAGACAGAGGTTTCTGTTGAGTGACTGTTATGTCTTAGTACTGTTCTGGGCACTGGAGAGAAACTACTATACAAACTAGTCAAGGTTCCTGTCCTCAGGGAATGTATCCAAAGTGGAAAACAAATAGACAAGTCAACAAAATGCCTAAGACTATGAGAGTGCATGCAAACAATGAAATGTTCAACTACTAGGCAAAAGGTTGGTAACTGGATTGTAA